CACCAAAAAAGTTTCAATAAATATTCACTATTTTACTGAGACTTTAGTTCATCCCGTATCATCTCATTTAATTAAATTTAATTCTAATTTATTAAAGTGTTCAATTAAGCAACTTCATCTCATTTGCCTTCATATCATTTTTCATATCGAAATAGTTTAAAAAAGGAAAATGTAAGATTGGGCTTAAAGGTTTCGTTACCGGGCCATAAAAATCTTCAAAAAAATATAATGATACAAAAGCCTGCCAAAACAAAAAAATATGTAAATAACAATTTTTGCAATCGAAATTTTACATCATTTTATTAAGTACCTACCTATTTAAGTATCAAATACGAGGAGGTTCGTAACGCTCTTCCATTTTGTTTAATTAATAATCCAGATACCGCAGAGGAAATGCAACTACTAAGTACGCGTAATGTATTTTTATTATTAAAATATTATAATTGGTAAACTGTGCCTAGAAGTGCATTTGAAACAGGGAAATATAAAAAATACATAATATTTTTATGTTTCTCAAGCGCTATGACATATCCTTCTTCAAACGAGGCTTGAGGAGAGTACTTAACGGTAGGCAGCGACTTGGCTCTGCTCCTGGCCCTGCTAAAGTCTATGGGCGACGGTGACCACTTATCATCAGGTGGACCGTATGATCGTCTGCCTACAAGAGCTAAAATAATAATAATAAATTAAAAGCTTAAATCTCATGTTTTGTCATTTAATTTGCTATTCGTGAAGATAAGACTGTCCATAAATGAAAAATTAAAACAAATAATCAACAATTCCACGTCGTAGTCCCGCAAAAATCCGGGACATCCTAGTCTTCTAGTCACCACGTGACCGGCGGGCGTAGATCCTCTTCGCATATTAATGCGCGTAGCTTGGTGGCCTGCGAGAGCGAGCGACGTCGCTTTGTGTGTGACACCCGCCGTTTGTCGCCATCCGATCATTAACATAATAAATGCTAGCTTATTTACACTTTAATTGTATTAGATCGTGAAGAATGTTCATGCTTTAACTACATCGAGCGCTGGAGTGTGGTGTTCGGATTTTGCGGCTGAAGGCATGGCTGCTGCAATTCCCGTTTTTATGCCAAATTTCCAGCAATAGAAAGAGGCTTGACTATTTCTCTGGCGTGTTGTATCTGTGATTACTTGCCATCAGGTGAACCGTATACTATTTTTTTTTTTTTATTGCCCTTGTTGGCAGACGAGCATACGGCCCACCTGATGGTGAGTGGTTATCGTCGCTCATGGACGTCAGCAATGTCAGGGGCAGAGCCAAGCCGCTGCCTACCGTTTAATACTCTCCACAAGCTTCATTTGAACAAGGACATGTCAGTTCTAAGGACTCAAATATAGTTATAATTTTAATTCCATTCCATACCACATTTTAATTTCAAAGTTTTCTACGGCGCTGCGTTGGAATGCACCGGAAATCAATTATGCAGTAAATCGGCAGCCAACCAATACATCTGAACTAATTTACATACAACCTGAATCGAACAAGAGCTGTATGTCTTCACAACGTATGCCGCGATGGCTTGTAAAGTCGTTGACGATGGATTGATTTAGAATATTGTCCGGGTGACTTGATTAAATACGTTTTAGGATACAACTAAAGCTGCACAGGGGAATCTGAGCTTTGAAACTAGTCGCAAAAGATTGATAGTAATATTGACTTGTGTTCGATGTTATAAAGTAACATTATTTCCAAGTTATATAGATTTTTTTGCAGCAATTTTATCTTTTTTTATTTATTGCTTAGATGGGTGGACGAGCTCACAGCCCACCTGGTGTTAAGTGGGTACTGGAGCCCATAGACATCTACAATGTAAATGCGCCACTTTATAAGTTCTAAGGGTCTCAGTATAGTTACAACGGCTGCCCCACCCTTCAAACCGAAACGCATTACTGCTTCACGGCAGAAATAGGCAGGGTGGTGGTACCTACCCGTGCGGACTCACAAGAGGTCCTACCACCTAAAGTCTGTCCCTATATTGGTTAGGAGCTATACGAACTAGGCCTATCATCTCAATTTGACAACAGACGTCAAGAACAAAAGTTTGACAATAAATAAATAGTATGCATGCGTGTGTGCGTCAAATACATGGTAGTGTGTGTAATGTTTTTATTTATTGATTTAATGTATTTTTTTGGGCATAATCTAAAAAAAATATTAGCATTCTGCACTCCTTCTCTATATTCTCTATAAGTGTGGGAAATTTCATACTCCACCGTCCGCGCAATTTTCGTAAAAAGGGATAATACCAAGTTTTTCCTTCACGTATTAATATATATAGATTTATTTTTACACAATATTCAAGTAAAATAGTTTGTAACCAATATTTAATCTGCCGCTTCAGAAGGTGTGTTTTATTCGATAAATCACACGCGTCCCGACCCGGTGGACCATCCGCGGGCCTCATTTACGTGGCGGCCGTTCTTCGTATCTGAACCGAGATATCTTCGATGTTGTACGCCGATAAATAAAATATTGACGCGTTTGCATGCAAGCGACTTTGGATTTCATTAAGATAATCTAAATTGAGGCGGGTTTTTTTTTTAAGTACCGTTTTAGTGAGCGGGCGTGCCATTCTGTTTAACAATAACGCTGTATGTAAAATGTCACTTTTAAATAGTGTTTTTTTTTTTTGTCAACTTGAACAAGACTGCGTTTGATTTCTTTTGAGCCTTCAAATACGCGTTTGGTTCGCGACATATCATAAATAGTTAAGGTTATAAATATATCTCCTAATATATCAGCTGCAGATAGGAACAGATGGCGGTGCACTATAAAAAACAAACTGTTTCAAGGCCATGACCACGACCCTCAGTAATGAGGAAACCGACGCAAGGAGGAGGACATTACGCGACTAATTCGATCCTCAGCCTAAATTTATAAAAATTGGTTCCAAATAATACTTACGTGGCCTACGTTCTTAAGAGAACTGTTTTTTTAGGGGTTCTAAGGTTTAGTATACTTATAACGGCTGCAAATGCATTACTGCTTCACGACAGAAATCGGCGGGGTGGTGGTACCTACGCGCGCGGACTCACAAGAGGTTCTACCACCACCTAAAGTCTGTCCCTATATTGGTCAGGAGCTATACGAACTAGGCCTCTTCAAACGGCTAGGATTTTTTCCCTAACATACGTACATAATATGTAGAGATATCATAACTCGTCGTAGATAAAATAACTTTTAAAGTGATCAGATTTTTCGGTCTGGAAAAAAGTATAGTTGCATTTCCATTTAAAAACTTCGACTACTCAGTCTGTGGCGTAATTTGCGTTGTGCCTAAGCCCCCTACCAACTCCAGCTCGGGAGCTATGCTGTACACTTGATTTCAGATCTTAGGGGCTAGACAAACTATTGCTTAAACCCTTGATATTTTTTGTGTTTTTTTCTTACCTATGCTGATAGCCTTGAGTGGCTATTTCAGCGTAACCCTAACTAGTAGGTGAGCTCACGGGGCTCAAACCGGAGTGACGCTAACACTGGCCCTAGCAAGAGCAGTGCTTCGCAGAATCTACCACCGGATCAGAAACGCGACCCACTGATAAGATCCGGCGAGAAACTCAGTGAGCTGTGTCTATGGGTTCATTCGCTCGTCGAGCCCTTCGTCGCAAGCGACGGGTTAGACGGGAACGGTGACCGGTCTTTTGTGTTAATCATTTGTCTTCTACTGCTCTCCTGCTATGGAAGATATATTGGTTCGGATAACCATTTTCTAAGTTATTTATTTTTATCCATGCTGGTCTATCACACTCACAAAGTATGTGACGTATAGTCTCTACCTTCTCCACAGAGGTAGTGTCGTCAGTAATTTTACGCATATACTCTCCACAGCCAAAATCCTTTATTAGGGCTCGAAGAAAACGTCTAAGTTTATTTCTACATAACTTTCTGACTTTGTCTTTTTAATTTCATCCAAGAAACCCATACTCATAACTCTGTTTTTTTAACAAGTTTAATGATAAAATAGTTCTATGTAAATGAATATGAAATTCCAAAAAGGGCACATCTCGCATATTTTGTCAAATAAGTTTTTTCATATACATGTAGTTTTGAGGGTTACCTACAATCATTTTATAATAATTCCAGTAATTTTCAATTGCTAATTAACACTAAAATATATCTCAAAAGTTAATATTTTAAATTTTACACTGCCTTAGAAAATAATCAGTTTTTTTTATTTTCCTGAACATTTTACATTTTCAGAGATGTGTCCTTTTCGAAATTGCATATTCAATTAGATTGGAGCCCCTAATTCTCAATATCGTTGCCCGCTTTGAATTTTCTAAGTCAATCGAATGTTCTAGTCTCAAAGTACATTTTAATCGCAGACCAATTTCTTCGTTATCCCTACGCCATAGAATCCAGTTTAAATTAGTGTTCGTAGTTCGCAGCAGAATCCGCCGGTAATCATTAACATAAGAGGGATGCCCTGCACTGGGCCACCGCATATTTAGCTAAAAGCACGCTTCGCTAACAGCAAGGTAATTAGACTATGCTATTGATGGGAAGAATTAATTGGAATTTTTGCGTGAGATCGTTAAAGTTAAATGCCGAAGTCTGAGAGCTATGCAAGGTATACGGTAGTTGTCGAGATTTATTACGATTAGACATAATACTTTAACGAATAAGAGTTTTTACTGGTGGTAGGGCCTCTTGTGAGTCCGCGCTGGTTATTATCACCACCCTGCCTATTTCTGCCGTGAAGCAGCAATGCGTTTCAGTTTGAAGGGTGGGGCAGCCGTTGTAACTAAACTTGAGACTTTAGAACTTATATCTCGAGGTGGGTGGCGCATTTACGTTGTGGATGTCTATGGGCTCTAGTAACCACTTAACAACGCTTAAGTGCTGATATAGAAAATCATTTTCGACACAGAACCCGGCTCTGTAAAGATCGCCCTTTCGCAAAGTTTTCGATTACCCATGCTCTTTAAATAATAATAATAATAAACATTTATTCAAAATATAAAATACAAGAAATCAAAGAAAAAAAGTGTGTGCGTGTGCAAGTCACACACGGACACGGTAGAAGTGAAAATTATAAATAATGAAAATAAACGCAAGGGTCAACCACTCCGCAGTGCAATGGAGCAGCCTCACCCTGGGGAAACCGCCTGTATGATCACGGTATCCCTACGCCAGGTAAGTATGATTTAGCAAGAGAAATACGAGAACGTCTATCAACTGTGTAACATCTCGTCACCGCGATTCTAGAATTTTTGAATTTACGTGCGACATCTGTTAATAACAAACTAAATATAAATAATTGTAAATCATCTTTTATAGTATGAGGTAGCGCCCTCTGCGAATTGATATTTTGACTTCACGTATAATGTGTTCTATCTCATTCTCTCGCCGGCTGAATCCTATACATTTATGTGTTTGTGTCTCTATGGACTTATTTTTTCGTTTCATCGAGTTTGAAATCACAACGATTCTAAAGAAGTTTCACTTCAAAATAACGAGGCTTGGAAAGGGAAAATGAGCTGCGTATTATGGTACTGATTTGTATTTAAGTTACTAACCACTATTAGTTGGGCCACAGCCTTGTATTCCTTCGAGGGAAATGAACAGGCCTTCTTCGCGAATTTCCTGAATGTAGGCGATGGCTATATTCAGCTGTGGACGTATTATATCCCCGTTTAAGAAATTTCACTCGGTACACTTGTAGCAGCTGCTAACATCAGATTTTCCTTGAACTAACCCGTGTAAAAAAAAGCGCGTTAATAGGTTATTTTAAGTCGTATAACCTTTTTCAGAGCTATCTACATATTAACCAAATTAAATCACACCACGCATCTTTTTATTGTTAGTTATAAGAACATCTCCAGATTTTAAATTAAATGAATGGTCAATAATATTATATTTTTACGATGACCATAAATAGATTCTATAACATCTCGTCACTTCCGAATATTATCTCAATGCAAATCAATAGGAAATCATGGCTGACACGAAACTTACGACACCTCGGCACGTGCTTAGAGGAGAAATAAAAAGAAAACAAAAGTTTTCAAATATCGAATGTTTTATGTCAACAATAATCAAAATGCTGTCATAAAATTCATTGAGCTTTTAAGACAACAAGCGAAGGTTTAATTTCAACAGTCCATTATTATTTAATGTAAACAGAAAGTTTGTATTTTCTCGTTGAGCTCAAGAATATGCCGTGTAAGGTTAGGGGTGGTCTTACAACGTTATTTTTTACTGAATCTTAATTTATTTATGAGTATGATGCGACATGTCGATATATGAATATTAATCGTATACTTATCGTTTTTTGACGGGCATACGTCACTTTTTATGGGACGTATTTTACATTTTTTCTTCAAAATCATTCCTTTTTTATTGACTCTTCCGTCGCGTCTTCACTGTGAATCAAATTAAATTATAATTTTTATTTTTTTTTATTGCTTAGGTGGATGGACGAGCTCACAGTTTTCTTCTCAGCTCTGTTCCGATCCGGTAGTAGATTCAGCGAAGCACTGCTCTTGCTAGGGTCAGTGTTAGCATTCTTCTCAGGTTGAGCCTGTGAGCTCACCTACCGATCCGCACGAATTTGGAATAGCCCCTTAGGCTGCCGACAATTAGCTAGGGAAAAAAAAGCACTGACCGCAAAACCACGCTTGAAAAAAGACATGTTGCTAATAGACGCATAAAAAATTACACCCGAAAATATCTGAAACGCGAAAAAATTAGTTTTTTTTTATTGCATAGATGGATGGACGAGCTCACATCCCACCTGGTGTTAAGTGGTTACTGGAGCCCATAGACATCCACAACGTAAATGCGCCACCCACCTTGAGATATAAGTTCTAAGGTCTCAAGTATAGTTACAACGGCTGCCCCACCCTTCAAACCGAAACGCATTACTGCTTCACGGCAGAAATAGGCGGGGTGGTGGTACCTATCCGTGCGAACTCACAAGAGGTCCTACCACCAGTAAAAAGTAGCCAGTATCCAGTATAAATATTAGGTCTTTCATTTTGTTTCATAGCTGTATCGTAAAATTTCAATTGGTAGTTCATAAGCCTTTTTACTGTTTGTGTTATTAACCTATTTAATAAAAAATATAGTTAAAAAAAAACGAAAATCAAACATTCAATGCAACATACAGAATAAACTTCAGTCACAAACTTAACATTTGCCGATCTGCATCTTGGCTGTAAACCATTGTTTTCCTCCAAGCAGCGCGATGAATAGTTAACCCATACACACAGGCCACTGAGTTTCTCGCTGGATCTTCTCAGCGGGTCGCGATTCCGAGCCGATGCTAAATTCTGCAAAGCACTGCTCTTGCTAGGGCTAGTTTTAACAAATTTTCTAAGGTTGAGCCTGAAAGCTCACCTTCCCGTCCGCGAGTAGCTGGAATAGCCCTTTTGCTTAATATTGCTTTGCTCACCTACATGTTAGGGTGAAGCTCAAGCTAACTATACTTGAGACTTTAGAACTTATATCTCAAGGTGGCGCATTTACGTTGTAGATGTCTATGGCAGTAACCACTTAAAACCAGGTGGGCTGTGAGCTCGTCCACCAATCTAGGAAAAAAAAAAATTAGTTCGATGCCATGATTAATTTACGACTAGTGAGTGCGTACCTTAACCACGTATCATCAAAACCGGTCCTAAGCCGTATTTATGGTAATACAGTAGTATATATTTTAATCGTATACTTAATAAAGTGGCTTAAAGACCGGAAAAGGATCTTCGTGCCAACTTTCCGCTAGTTCATGCCGCATGCGCATCTGAATGGTCGTTTTTCACTCTAACTCAATAAGTCTACTCTGTACTACTAAATAAGTCTACTTTGCTTTTTTTTTTCTTCTTAGATGGGTGGACGAGCTCACAGTTCACCTGGTGTTAAGTAGTTACTGGAATAAATGACGTAAATGCGCTACCCACCTTGAGGTATAAGTTCTAACGTCTCAGTATAGTTACAACGGCTGCCCCACCCTTCCAATATTGCTTCACGGCAGAAGTAGGCAGTGGTCGACGCGTGGTCTTCATTTTAATCAAATGCCAATCATTATTTACCCTAACTGCCGAGGAAAACTTAAAGGTTTGACAGAGGCTTGACAAATCACACTGTTTAATTTATGGATTTAAGAAAAAAAATGTTACAAAATATGTTAATGTTGGTCATATTGTATACTTAAATTTGCAGTCGAATTTTATTGTTAAATATCTAGGTACGTACATTTAAACTTACTAGTGGTCCCTGGTAGTCGAGATTCGACTATAATTAATTGAAGTTATAAGTTTGTACACTATGTGCTATGATTTTATTATCAAAAACTATTATACTTCTATAATCACAGATTTCGCCAAGACTACACTTTAGTTAGACAAATATTAATAAAGACAAACAATATTTAATCTATTCTCAATTTGACCACAGACTAGACAATAAGAAAACTTTGACAAGAAACAAATAGTATGTATACACGCGTGTGTGTGTCAAATACATGGTAGTGTGTGTAATGTTTGTTTCTATTGATTTAATGTATTTTTTATGCATGAATAAAAAAATATTAACATTCTGCACTCCTTCTCTATATTCTCTACAAGTGTGGGAAATTTCATACTCCTCTGTCCGTGCAATTTTCGTATTAAGGGTTACAAATTTTTTGCTTCACGTAATAATATATAGATAAATCTGTTTTTGGTTTCTACACTAGCAGGAAACCTAATTATAGGATCGGACGACCGTGTGATTTATTACTAATTACATATTTATTATTAATTATTATTAAGGTTTATCTGTTGATTGTGTGTTGTCCGAAAATTATTTTACCAAAGTTGATATTATTGTAACAAAACCTCTTCGTTCGTATTCTATATCAATATTGTAATTGAATCGAACGAGTTGACACGTGCCAACTGGTCAGCGGTTATAAAGCAATATTGATTGTACACAAAATGGCGGGGGCCGCGTAATGGCCGCTCCCGATACAATAAATATGTCCACCGCGTTGACCGTGAGTTCGTATTGTAGGTCCATTAAAAGATAAGCTAATTCAACTTGAAATATTCGATACATTTTTTTCCTACCTATGCTGATAGCCTTGAGAGGCAATTTCAGCTTCTCCTTGTCCAGTAGGTGAGCTCACGAAGCTCAAGCCGGGAGTGTTTCTAACACTGGCCCTAGCAAGAGCAGTGCCTCGCAGAACCTAGCACCGGATCGGAAATGTGACCCACTGAGAAGATCCTCCGAGAAACTCGGTGGGCTGTGTCTATGGTTTAAAAAAAAAATTCGTCAAAATTCTACAGTAGATCATTATTATGATTTTCACTATTTTTATTATGATTTGTGAAAGTAAACATTTAATGGATTTATTAGATTATTATAATTATTATTTTTCTTTTCTTCCCTTACATAATCTCTGGTAGCCTAAGAGGTTATTCCAGTTACTCAGGAAACAGTAAGTGAGCTCACGGATAATTAGCTTACACTGGCCCTAGCAAAAGCAGAGCTTCGCTGCTTCTGTTTTAATACATTGTGAAATTGTGGACGAAAGTAATTAATAAATTTGGAAATTAAGCTTAGTGGAGCTTAAAACTAAAGGAGGGATTTTGATGGAATCTTAACACTGTCATGGCTAATAACAAAAATATATGAATTACGTAGGCTAAAATCTAGTACGGTAAAACGCGACCGATGACGCAAGGCACTTTCAAGAAATCGATGCTTTTAAAACAATTACCGAAGCGTGACCGGATCTTACTACTGAATATACTACTACTGAATATATAAATGCAGAATTCAGTCATAGCAGCGTTATTAACCAGTGTTTGAGACTTCATTATGTATTACTATTAACTGATTTATTAAAACGTTCCGTAAATATTACTAGCAATGATTTGATTACGTTAATTATCCATTTTGGGGACCGATCATTGTGACACGAATTCATACTATTGGCTTATGTATTTTTTTACTAAAAGCTTAATGTTTAATTTAACTAAAATTTCCAAAACAAAATGACGACTGCTTTCATATAGAGAGGTGAAAGGTATATTTGGTTTAGGCGACATTTCAATTAATACGCGATATTTATCTTTGTAATTCTTTATTTACTTTCAATTTTATTTGGTATTATTACCATCAATTCGATGTTTTTAATTGAACTAACTAATATTATGTTTACCAC